AAATAACAGTTCACCTTGCGAACTGTGTTTTAATTGAAGCTTGGAGAAATCTTTTTAACGAGTTCTTAGTTTATCTGAGTGTGAATAAGGTTGACGTTTATTTGATTATTTATATTTCTAATTAGAACTCAAAAATTTCGGAAAGCAAGGTCAATTGTATTCGTGTTTGAAAATACTGACACGAATTAGATTAACTTGACTCTCAAGGCTGTCGCCAAAAGTAGCAAATGATCTAGGTGCGATATTTAATTAGGTTTTTTTTTTTACTTTTCTAAGATAAATTGTTCATAACTGAGGGTGTAAATTGACAATGTGAGATATTTTCTTCTGGCTGTAGTGGTTGCATATAATTATTATATTAAGTTTACAAATCAACACTTTTTGTCGATTTCTTGTCAGAAACATATAAATTCACTTTCAACTTGGGACATTACACAACCCAAAATGCGAATCTTTATTTACATAGCGTCACTGTGTCGCATCCTTCGCTAGGCAACGAAAACAATTTCATGCCAAGTTAAACAAAACTGAATTGAAATTGAAACAAAAACAGTAAAAACATATATACAATGTTGTTGATACTTATTGATTCTGACACACGTTTTATTGTTAAATTCCACAATCAATGAAGCTAATGTCAGTCAATAATTTCAGATTAAAGATAATTTGAAACAATGAAAGAACAGATCATATTCAATTCCATCGCGAAGTACATTATGATCTTGATATTGAAATTGTGTTTGTTAACACCATGGTGTTTCTTTCCATTTAAATACGACTTTCTGTAGATTGTTGACGTGTTTGTGATTGTTGCAGTAGTAGCTGGCGTTTTAACTAGTATCAGTAGAAACCCGCTCCTATATGATAGAATATGACAGTTTGATTTTTGGCCTAATAATGAAAACTCTTTCGCTTCTCGTGGAAAATATATTTACCCCAAATTCTTACATCGGATGTTTAAAGATTTATTATTCAAATCTATACTAAATGCCTTGTGGTGTGTCGCCCGAATAAGAATCTTACAATAGCATGATACAATATATATTAAACATTACTCAATCACGAATCATTCAAAAATAAGCTTAACAATAATATACGTTAAAGTGGATCTAGCACCTTTGACATACATACAGAAAGAAATCCAATTTTCTGTTCTAGACATAAAGGAACATACTCAATTTACAAAATAGTCTTAATTTATTTTATCGTCGGTACCTTTTATGTTTAGTCACAGGATAGCGATCCTAGATGTTTTAGCAACTATAACGGTAAACACACAATATACAATGCAGCACTCAACAGACCTAAATGGTCCCACTAATAATAAGTAAAGCAAATGAAATGGTGGTTTAACGTTCTAATTTCAGGTACCGACTGGACTATGAAGATGGACATACGCCATAGAGTGTGCCATTTGGGAAATTTTGGTTTTCTTGTCGTGACCACAGTATACACACACTGCACCAATAAAACTTTGAATAATACCATTGCTTATTATAATATATTATTGAACCATAAAAGTGTAACGAATCCGGTGTAATGTTTCGAAATGAAAATGTAAACATTAGAATGTAAACATCGAAAATTAGTCAAGGATTTCTTTAGCATACTATTTAATTTTTTAAAAAAATATCTTGTATTGCTATAGCATATTAAATTCAATAGTAAGCTTGCGTGGCGCTATTGCGAATTTAAATGCGTGTATCAAATACTTACAATAATATGTTTCAATAATATGTATGTTAGTTAGGCTTGCTCAATAATTATGTGCGTGTCAGTAGTAGTTAATTAGTGATCTTCAGACAGATGAAATCGCCTTCTGTTTAACGCCATTTTGATGAGCTTGGCGGTCATTTGAGTGTATTCGTATGATAATTAACAATTCTATTAATATATCCTATATTAAAGAAAAGAATTAATATCAGAATATTTCTCATATTTAATAATCAATGACATTTCAACGAAACCAGTAGAAAGAAAACAGCATCTGTATGTCTAATCAACAAAAGAACGTGTCGACATATTAATAATAACGATGATTGTATAGAATTAATTCCATATACAGGACTGATGAAATCAAGATCAAAAAGAATAATATCTAACTAGTTTTTGAGGTATCGTTAACTTCTACCCTCTATTTAGCCTTTATTAACACTTTTATCAGTTGGTGTAACGATTTCTTTCTCCACTTGGTTGTAATTACTAAAGCAATTTATTTTCTCAACTTATTTCAAAACTACCACTGTAGAGAAGTATGGTGGTGGAAACATTTCTAGATGAGAAAGGAATAGAGGAAACCTGGGATCGTAAGTCGAGGAATATGACCTGCGTCTAGCCCCAAATCTGGAATTTTAAAGATCCCCAGCCGGATAGACTGTTTACACCAATCACACCTGCAACCAGTCACGCCTTTGGCCACATTCCTCAAATTTAAAAACGATTGTAATTTACCAATCAAATTTTCATCATGTAAATACTAAACCAATAATGGATTAATAGTTATTTAGAAGATTAAAGCAAAAGGTGCAGCTTAGATAATCCCTTTACGTCGATGATGGCTGGTTCGGATAAGACATATTTCAAGCCATCGTAAACGCATGAAGGTTGGGAGTCCGGACAATCTATACCAGTGTAAACATCAAGTGGTCATAACGTCAAGAATTATTTATCTGAATAACTTCTAAATCTGAGCACACTGTCATGTGATCGTGTATGATCATAAATTCTGCAGTGTAAGTTTATTCTTGTTTGTGGCACCTATAATAAAATGATATACATCATATAAATTTTGTTTATATCCTATTAACACCAAAACATGTTTCTGTAATATTCTTAATATCTTTTGACCTTATTGTTCTACTGTTAATAATATCATCATATTGAAATACATTAGGTAATAAGTTATTTCTTTCTTGGCACGATGTCTAATTTTTAAATATTACTTTAAATTTGATAGAAATGGACTTTTAATGATTATTTACCAAATCCATCTTTCAGTACGATTGTGAACGAATCTCTACACGAATTAAGTACTACCTTACAAGATCAAATATATATCTGGCGTTTGATGAAGTCGATCTGTTTTATTACTTCGATATATTAAAACTAGAAATATGTATTAGACCTCTGAGATACTGACCCAAGCCATCGCAACAGTTGGCTGAGTATTGACGGGTGTGGTGTCGAGAAAAGTATATACCCCTGATACAACTATTCTTTTGTGTGACTCTATTTCTACCAAACCTTTACTGGTATCGGCAAAGTGAACGGCCTCAAAATTTTAAATCTGTATTCTTGTATTGTTTACACTGCCCCGTCTTAAAAACCGTGAGTGACTGCGTTTAATATATTGGATTTTTGGTAAGGATAGGTTTTAGCGACCACCAAACCTTATAACGAGCCTTATTCTGCAAAGGCAGTCAAAGCAAATCATATTCATGTTCTATATACAAGCTTTATCCGATTCAGAATATATCCAGCTACACTTATCGCCAAAACATAGCCACCTGAAACGTGAGAATCAGCCACATATGGCCAATTTTCATTTGCATTCGTCTCGTTTGGGAGTTATTATAGCAAAGGAATAGAACATTTTAAAGTGCAACTAAAAATGTCAAGTTTGAAATGGAATTTTGACTTTTTTCACACGATCACGAATGCCGTATCTTGTTGATTTAAAGTCGATAGATCATCCTCAGATTAAGACAATACATGGAAGATGCTGAAAACTGATTCTGGATTTACTGACCTTCAGAAATCCTTAGAGGGATGGTTGCATACCGTTCTTTCAAAGACAAAGATTATGACGGAGAAAAGCTCCTTATGGTTTCCTTAAGCTTAAAGCAGCTGTAGCATTGACAATCATCTTTGTTACCGAGTAGTGTACGAGTAGATTGATAATATGTGGGTGGGAATGTTTTGCTTTAGAATTTTGGCTACTCTAATAAGTCGCACTTCATACTGAGCCGTACTTTTTAAAAATTAAAGTTGATTTTTCTGTACTGGATCAGGAGAAATATAGTTTATTGTATTACTAAAATTAGATGGACTAATATGTGATAATTTTTAATTTGCATGAGATAACAGAAGGTCACCCACACACCGGATACGTTTTTCTTAAATTCCAACTGTCATGTATTTGTTTATGTGTTCACATTACATATAATTACTCTCGTAGACGCTACACGTGATAGATAGCTTAGAAACATGGATTGGAACGTAATGCAGCCCCCCCCCCCCGAACTACAATAGAGCAGTCTAGTCATGTATCCAACATCCATGCGATGTGGTTGGCCAAACCAATAAATAAACCAAATATCACTGGTTCAACTTTTTAAAAACCGGCTGCAACAGTTTTATGCATTATTCAAAAAGCTAACCACGCTTAAGTTGGCTAATGTCAAATGACGTAAGAATTCTTAACATCGGTAAAGCGATGTTCTACAAAATATGAACGACATTATCCACTTAGGTTTCTTTGAGAGTGGGGTAATCACTGTTCATATGGCGATCCACCATGAAACAAACGTGGGTAAAAAGAGCTATCAGTCTTTCCTTTAATGGACTGGAGAAAATACTACTAATGTATGAACAGTTATATTATTATACTCATCTATGATCTTTTGGAATAATAATCAATTATTTAGCTCTGACTGCGATGATGATGAAGTCAAGATCAAATTCGTCTCTCATCCCAGACAAGACTTGATCCAAAACAAATTATTATACTATAATATGCCAGTTAATTGAAGCATTGAAAGCGACGGTCAGATCTATCAGTCTATTGTTCATAAAAGGTACCGCGTTCCTACATATACATCGTTCTCGGGGTTGGCACGACTCATTAGGCTTTTAACTAGGTACTTAAACCAAGCGATTGCGTCCCTGGCACCACCGGGGAATTCACACATAATGAATTCTATGCTTGGAAAACATAAAGGAATTGATGCGTATCCTTTCATTGGTGGGTATGACAGGAAATGAATCTAGTCCCTGCGAGCGTGGTAGAGAAAATGAAGCTCAGCTGGGAATAAATTAAAGAAATTCATCGATCCTCGTAGCTAATAAGCTAGAAGTTCCAGAGTCAAGAGTGGGCAGGGCTTATAATTTCCTATATTTCAAGGCGTGTTCGTCACAACTATTGGTATTATTTCCATCAACAGTCTAAAGATATACACACTGCTGCTTATAGACACGAGAAGGGCCTTATCTAAAAGGATAACGTAACTTTGTATTCAGGAAGAAACTTTGTAACAGAAACTTTAGAAATTTGACTGGTGTAAATTGATTGTTGTTCACAGGTAACGAAACTTTTTTTTGTCTCTTTCCCTTTCTCAACTTTTTAACTCGTATAATTTGTTTCTAACTTATCTTGTTTCAAATATTGAATGTTAGTGGATGACTGGCAATTTGAGTTCTCGTGTGACATTTCTCTTCGATAAATGAATACGACTTCAAAGGACATTTGCGTTGTCGTGGTCATATAAAAATATTAAGGAATTTGAAACATGGTTTTAGTTTTGTGCCGGCGGTATTCTCGCGGTTTAAAAACTCGGCCTGTAGTGCTACGAAATTCTTGATTCGTCCGAGCGGCAATAGACGCGCAGCTCCTACAGTACGACTACGAAATTCTTGGTTCCGAACGCCCGGTGTGAGTTTAATAAACCCTTCGGTTTTTGCAGCTCCATGAGCCTACTGCTGTGAGTTAATGCTATAGCGGGTAGTTATTCGGATTGGGTGAATAATTGAGATCCGTATGCACTTTGACCATGCAGATGAAAATGATCCCTCCACACATAGAAACCCTATTTCTCTTTTAATTTAATATGGAATATAACGGTTTCTCTAAAACAGCGATGATGGGACCGTGGTACATGGGACAGTGGATAGTTTGTATGTTTGGGGCCCCTGATACAAATATTGAGCAATTGATATAGGTCCCAAATTTCTAGAATTTTATTAGTGGCAATTGTACATAGAAGGGTTTCTTCATTAGAACTTTCCCTGTGTCGATTACCTTGATACTACCCGACGGATACTGCGTCATACGTTTTTGTATTTGTATGTTTTCATATTAAATTGTATATTGTTTGGGAATATATGAGCTATGTTTAATAACAGACAGCTTTATGGAAAACATTCACTAGGTTTATTAACTGCAACGTTTCAATGAGGTTACTCTCACCGTTATCTATTGATAACGGTGAGAGTGACATCTATTGATAACGGTGAGAGTAACCTCATTGAAACGTTGCAGTTAATAAACCTAGTGAATGTTTTCCATAAATCTCTCTGTTATTATATAGATGTATATCGCTTTCACTAAATGTCCTTTAAAGATGTGCTATGTTCTCGTGTCAATTGTTTTGTGGGGATCACGGTGGCTAAGTGGGTAAGACGCTGGCTCGCTAGCCTAGAGGTCGGGTGTTCGATCCCTGCATTGGCGAGAAAGTTCATCCAGATTTTCTGGCGTGGTTCCCCCTTGTCAGTGATGCAGGACGGAGGGCCTGACAAGTATAGCTGTCAAGTCGTTCGGATGGGACAAAAAACCGTGGTCCCGTGTACACATTGGCGTGCGCGTAAAAGATCCCTTGACAGTTGGAATTCGATATAAGAAGAGTAGGCCGTAGTGCCGATGTCCGGGCAAAATTTCCCTCATAGCACACTGTATGGCGTATTCCCGTCTTCATTAGCCCAGTTCGGAGCAGAATAGTAGGACGTTAAACCCCATTTCATTTCATTTTAATTGTTTTGTCTGTAATTTGTCGGGCAATTTTCGTCTTACTCTAACAAATAACCGTAGACTAACATAATAATAAAAAGTCTGACCATTTGTTTATCTAGTTATGTTTTTCTCAATTAACACCTATAGTGCCTCAGATTTGGGTCGACAACAAATCCTCTATTTAGACCACAATGTAATATGAATATTTTATCCACTGTCGTTTATCTTTTAAAGGGCAATTAGTTGCTAAGCATTTCCATAACTCATAGTGCAGCTGTGAGGAAATCTTCGGATTTGTTGTTTTCCAACAAGCGAACTTTAATTAATATTGAAAGGAATCGATGCTTAGGACATTTTGAGACTAACAAGTGCAGGAAACTTTTGTCTTGACAGCGACGTTTACATATAGTCTTTATCGAATTCTAACTGCGAAGACTTTTGTGTGCACACCCGAAATTCGTCATCTAAACCGGGACATTCTAAACGTCAGTTTTCTTATCGCATATATATCATTTATAAAAAGGCTAATAGCAGTTCCTGTAGGTTAAGCCAGGAAGTTATTTTATTGAGTCTAAGCATGCACAGACATTATCGGAAGGAACATTTTGTATGAGACGTTGTGGCAGGTGTCTAAGTAATGAGAAAAGAAAGAGGACAAAGAAATTAATAGGTTTTTATATATTTTAAACCACGATACATTAACTCGATAATTGCTGTCAGTTTTCAATTTTCTATTCTGTGTGTAAAGTATTAGTTACATTATAAAAAACATTCATGTTATTGTCTTTATTTGGTGTAGCTATCTGCCCAATTTGAATCCCTATCGCAATTTTATCTTAGGGTTGAATAGGATTTCTTTTTGTGTTGTTGAAAAATGTGTTTTTTTGTTATATTAGTCTTTATATTTAGATTCGAACATTTCATTGATGCACTTGATAGAACTTCTTTACTTGGAGTATCAGTAGATACAATAACGTAAATATGAAAATGATTATGACTTGCTAATATCACAATAAGATTTGATTTTAGGAAATGAGTCGTAATCTGCGTCATACGCCCATCTATATAGTATTTATGTAAAATACTCTACGGGTGAAAGTTCTTCTCGAGTTTTTTTTTCTATGCTAATTTCTAATAATTGTTGATTGGAACATAAGGGAAAACACTTTCGGTGAACAATATTTTGGGAATGAATTTCCTAGAATTGTCGATTTTTAAAGAATGAATGCGACAATTCAATGCAGCTTTGCCAATGTAAACTCGGAAGTACATAAGAAAGAATCCGCGACTTTAAAGGAAGTATTGTTGAATCGTTAAACCATAACGATGGTAATTTTTAAGTATCAAGAATCGCTTTTGCTTTAGTTGATATAGGACTACATTATAATCTTGAATTAAGTAAAATTAATACTTAGTATGACGTTTTAATGGGTTTGTCGTATTACACCCAATAATCTGCAATTGGAAAACGATTAATAAGGTACCACTCTTCTTGTCAGCAGGGGCCACTCGGGGCTGGTGGAAACCGGTCTGAAGCAGCCCGAGGGATCTTCTCTGCCCACTAATGATCTCAGAAGTCGCAAAACTGATTTAGATTATGGTACTAAACTTAGTTTATACGGTTTTTTTTATTGACACGAATTTTGACATGCTTTTTCCCAGAATGGCTTGTTTCTTGTACAATTGTGCATTTGTGATATGATGTCACAATTCTAAGATGGCTACAACGACTTCACGCTCGGTTCCTCGTCCACGTAGAACGCTCGTACATGTATTTAGGTTTGTTTTTGGTGAAGCGGGGCCCAATTTACGGTCTATAATATACCCGTCTCTTAATATGAATTATAAACTATTATCACAGTTTCAGTGTGTTTATCCAGATAACAAACCCTTTATTCATTCATTTCACGGCAATTCCTTTCACTGTATTTATTCAATCTTCGTTAATGTAAGAGGTATATGTAATTTTATTGTCTTGTGGTGTCTAGACCGATAAATCAAGGTAATTACACAATACTAATATATAAAGTGGGCAGGTGAAGCACTTAGACAATGCCGTGTTAAAATATCAAGAAGCGGGAGGGCAAAAATGGCTTTGACGCTTGTCAACACTTTCTAGGCCAATTCAGAGCTAACATATGCTATAAATCCTTGTTTCACTATTTCGCTTGAGTACTGCAGTTCGCAGGCAGTTGGGGGAGACGAGGGTGGGTGGCGGGGACAATGCCGTAATATCATCGTGTGGGTTAAAATATTAGGAAGCGGGAGACAAATATTGGCTAGTCAACTCATTCTAGGCCAATTGAGAAGCATAATATTATATATCTTTAACTAATACGTTTAAATAGTGCAGGTATTTTTTTTGGCAGTTGGAAGGAACGAGGGTGGGGACTAGGCAGGCAGCCATACCCCTTGTCACATACGAGGATCGAAACAAAAAGACATGACACAACGACAGCGCATTTGTTAGACCACTCGTTGGCCACTACCCATATTAAGAAAGAACTGCTGCCACTTATTGTAGACTATGCACAGATCTCTGCACATTCAGACAGTGATATCTCAACCATTAATGATGCATTCATACGAAAGTATTTATTGAGTTCCAATAAAAGTATTGCCATTTTGGTCTTTATGGAATGCAGAGTCTGAAGTTCAGGGTGATACTATCATGCACAAGTCAGGACTTGCGTACTTGTTTAAAACCACCTGATACCACTTCTAATTTTATTAGATGTCCATATAGCAATTTATATTGTACCCTTATCTCTGTTAAATTCATAAATATATTTATTTCCATTCATTTGACACAGGCAAGTTAATATTTGCATATGTCTGTAAAGAGTGGGTTTTCACGCCAATATATGGAAATAAAAATTAATTGTGACATCCTGTGGTGGGTTACTGATGGCTTATTACAATACATTAATCTAATAAAGGTTACACAAATTCATTATTCCTTTACGAAGAATTTATAACAGCCCATTCATAACCATTGTGAACAACTTTAGAAACTCACTTCTGCAGCTTAAGTATGCAAATCCGGATTTGTACACTTATTTTGAAGATTAACAGTTTAGGTGATTTTGTATTTGTCACGTTGACAATGTAAACTAATACGTTACATTCTTGTATCAAAGTTTAAAGGAGCTAAATCGCTAACATTTGGAACCTAGAAATTGACACAAGTGGGTCGCAACTCATATAATACTGTAATATGAATGTATATAAACTGATATACATTCAATGGTTTCCGTTTTTACTCTAACTTCAAATCAGTTATATTCCGCGAAATAAACCCGCAGTCTCAATCGAATTCAAATTTCTAGCGCCTGGTTATTCCAGTCTACATACGCCGTTTGGTTTGGTGCAATATGTCTAGCCTCGTTCCTCGAGTCTCTTGCTAGAACTGGGGCTGAAACGCTTATTTGTAATACAGTTGTGTTTTTATATTGTATTTCGGGATCCACGGTGGCTAAGCGGGTAAGGCGCTGGTTCGATCCCTGCATTGGCCGAGAAAGTTCATCGGGATTTTCAGAGGTAGATTTTCCTCGTCAGTGGTGCAGGACGGAGGGCCTGAAAAGGGCAGCTGTCTAGTCGTTCGGATGGTACGAAAAAACCGAGGTCCCGTGTATACATTGGCATGCACATAAAAGATCACTTGACTGTTGGAATTTGATATAAGAGTAGACCATAGTGCCCGGGCAAAATTACCCACGTAACACACTGTATATGGCGTATGCCCGTCTTCATTAGCCCAGTCGGAGCAAAACAGGGGGATATTAAATCTCATTTCATTTCATTCCATATTGTATTTGTGCAAAGGGTAATTCATTAAAAAGCCATCCCTATTCCTTCAGTACCTCATCTATTACAAACTGTGACTAATATACATTTCAAATTTCTTTTCATCTTTAATCCATCTTGTATCTAATTCATCGCTCATTCATATTAAATTGACTTTCATAAGTAATAAATTATGACTTTATTCCTTTGAGATTTTTAGATGATGGCACGGTGTATTTTTAATTACATAATCTTTTATGTGAATATTATGTAGTAGGACATGTTATTAAAGTAACGATGCGTCATTTTCTTTTTTTGCTAAAATATCAATTTCTCACGGCTTAACTTACGTTAGTATGCACCCAAGATTGATTATTTAACATTTAATAAAGAACACAAAATCAAAATACCAACGCTAGATAATGTCGCGGCATGGATTCATTCGGATTTAAAACAGGCCTATCAATAATTTTTACCTACAACAAAATGGCGGCGGGCTTATTACATAGCGCGTCACATAGATCGCTAAAAAAAGCATCGAGGCTATATAGGGGGCAGATATGTTTGGAAAGGGAGTTTTTGTAGTATTCAAATTAAGGCGTGTGTTATACAAGTTCATGTCAAGAATACATTAAAGTCTCAATCCGCAAATTTTAAGCAATCCCGTTCAGTATTTACAAAGCTTTGTGGAATTGACATGCCATCCATCTACGCTGCTTGAGTGTAACAAGACGCCGCCATCTTTTATCGGTAGCACAGAAACCTGATGGGAGATTATCTAGCGTTGATGCTTTGATTTTGTTTTATTAAATAAATGTTAAATAATCAATCCGAGTCCTTATTAGCGTGGTTTAAGCTGTTATAAATTTGATATTTTAGTGAAAATGCAAATAGCGAATGGGGACTTCATAATTAAGATTCGCACTGTGTTGGGAATGCCCCTACCCAACCTCCCAGGATGAGAAAACCCGTGTAGCTGTAATGTATGATACGATAAATACATTCGATCCCAATCAATCAAACCAAATCCAAGGAGAGAATTTAGATAAAAAATGATATCCGCATGTAAACAGGCGCATGCAAAAATCACATATGTGAGAGTGGTATCAGAGGTGTAAAATAGAACCAGCCCCAAGCGCGACACTCCCCTCTACTTTAAAGATACTCTCAGTCAATCGGTCGAGAAAGACACAATCATAAACATTTTATGAAAATATAACTTTTATATTTCATTTTATGAAAATATAACTAAGTATTTCATTTCACCAAGCATTTCATTTTATGAAAATATCACCAAATATTTCCCGGGTTTATATTTCAATATAAAACCCTGATAATAATGGCTAAAATTTAATATATCTCTTTCAGAAACCAGAAAAATGGAAATGAAAGCATCCGTAGTTTTAAGTCTATTAGTAGCTTTGTTGTTGGCAGCTCCAATATTTTGTCTACCTGCAGATCAAGGTTCAGATATGGAGGTGAGTAATAAATAAACTGGAAAGTTTCTGGTCGACTAAACTTGGCATATTTAAAATGGAATTTCTCTCTAAAAATATATCAGTGTGTTTTGGTATTTAATCACATGCTCTGATATCCCCGATTATCCAACGGATTTGTTTGTGAAACGAGTAGTTGTTTGTCTAGTTAGGTTATTAGTACTTCTGAAATACTAGGGAGCTGTGTCAATATAGTTCCAACACAGTTCATAAGAATTATGAATTATCTGCTATGAATTCGGGTGCTTTGGTAGTCCCCGCTGTACATTTGAGAACCCACTTCGCAAAACATTAGAAGACAAAAACTGTCTACTTTGCTTATTTTTCCAGCAAGTTACTGATTTAATCGCGAACTGTGCATCATTTTAAAACTTTGTATTTCACTGTCGACACAGTAAGCCAATAACATAACGAAAATTAGTAAACAATCGGACCTGCGCTTACTCTTTCGAAACAAAAATTGATTCATATAGAGTTTACACGACCTTATAACCCAGTAAAGACGTTTGCGTACTCAGGTAGCAGTTCTGATTAGATGTACAATCATAAAGATGAAACGACATATAAAAATATAATTTAAATTATATGGGCCAGGAGATGGAAAATAAGTGTGTATGGTTGTAGGGGTAATTAATGCATCGTTAATAACAGGAGTCCCTACATATCTTTGTACATCATTTTGTTATTTGAAAGGGGGCATCTGCTCGGACCGTTGCATTAATTACTCCTTTCGACACAATTGTAATTAGCTGGGACATGAGATGGAAAAAGGTGTATACATATGGCGGTAAGAGTAAGTAATACAGTACTATCGTGTAATTCGTTGAGTTATATGAACAGGGGCATCTGCTCGTACCGTTGTTTTAATTATTCATATCGACAAGTATACTTAACTTACGAACACATTTAGAAATGTCTCTATTAACTTAATTCTATTTTATGGTGTTCTATATTGCAATAGATATTATGTATACGAAAAGAACAAGTACTATTATATTACGTCAAATCAATGGTATATAGAGATGATATCATACTTGACTAGTGTTGTTATCGTTTCATGAATTAATAAACGTTAACATGGCGATATTCTAAACACACTGCGATGCAGAACATAACAATTAGGACAACAGTCATCGATTTGGAAGGTATGTCATCAGAATGGTTGGTTAATAAATTATACATGTATATGAAAAACCATATCAGAAATTTCTCCTGGGATCTCTCAGGAACAACAGAATTCACGAAGCTGCAACACTGAAACTAAACAATGATGTAGTAATTTGCTTGCAACAGCGATCATGGCATTCTTTGTTCATAGAATTGTATCTATTACGATTGACTTTGTGTAATTTTAAATGCCGTGAAATAAAACAATGAAATAGTGACGTACTAGCAACATTGATCATTAAATTTCATTCTTTCATATACTACATACAATTTGGTATTATTTACAAGATCGTTCAACTTTTTGACGTTTTACCGACACAAGGTGAACGAGTGTATTTTATTATTTTAAAGTCAATCCTATGCACATTAACTACGCCTACATTATTGTAACACCACCTATTAATGCCAAATAAAAGGCTGTAATGAAATGATGGTTACATTGAATGGAAAAATGTTTGAATAATACTAATAACGATATAATACTGATTTGATTTTTAAGTGAATATAAATCGTTTTGGTCTCTGCTATCAGTTCTACAAACCTGTTTTCGCTTTCTAAATTTATAGCCATGACCGAATAAACATAACCAAAATTAAAAGTACATTTTAATAATGGTTATAATCCATTTGGATTTAGCTTATTTGTTTTTGTGAGTTAATGAGTATCTTCTAACAAATTTGAATGCGATTAAACAAAACTCCATATAAATTACCTGTTCTCGTATGAATGGGACCTTTGAAATAAATTACGAGACATATCATGCAAGTCTAACTTTTTTGTATTGAATTTGGTGTGCTTAAAACGGAATAAGCAAACTATGAAAATAGTTTAAGGTCCTTTATAATTATGTTAGGAGACTATCAAATCCTAGATTTTACATCTTCGGCTTTCTGTCAAAATTCGATGATCACTTATCGCCATGCGATAAATGGAAACCATCTGGCCCAGTCCTTTGATTGGCACCTTAATGAAATTAATAAATTATTTAAATATACATTACCAGTATTATTGACGTCACTTTAATTGAGGAAATATAGATTAAACAATCTCATTAAACATGCATTATACAAGAGGTAAATCTGCCTATTGCAGGTATATAAACTATTAGGCATTATTAAATTGAAAATACTATAATTAACTCTCGGTGCCATCGTTAGCATGCGATATTTATTGGATTTGAATCCGATCTGCTGTTCAACATCCGTTTATGATTAAACGCAAATATGGATAATCGAGACTTTGTTAATTATCGTGACAGTGAAAACAGTGATCATCAAGGCTACAATGATTTTAAGTTTTGACTGAAATTTTCAGCACATTCCCCTTACATCATCTAGTTTTTAACCATTATAGTGAGGACTGTCAGCTCTTTATCTAATCATCCATAATGTATCTTTAATAATAGATAAATTAATGTTCAGTTCAAAAAGTCCTTAAAGTAACAACATAAACCTTTAGAAATAGATCTGTGGACGCTGTCTTGGTATGACTGTCGTACCTACGTCTTTATTTGCTATTTATTCTACACAATTAAGAATACAACACAGTGATACAACGTGTAAGTTTTTAAATAATATTGTGTCCGGTAACTATCACTATCCTCAGTGACTTATCCCAAAGCATGCAGTTTTCGCCTGGAGAAATACCAATGCTTCCAGAAACCATGCTCGCGGAAAATAACCCAGAGGTTTTGAACGAGACGTTCAACAGTACTAATACAAAGCTTCGTCGGACAAGCGCAGTCCTTAATCTTAACCAAGATGTCTACAATCATGAATATGAGTTTTTGTTGTACCAAAATAATCCTTCCAAATAAGAAAACGTCCTCGCATATTCTGGCAAGCAGGAAGTCAGATAAGGTGAATCGAGAAGCTGGGAGAAGAAACATCCAAATAAACGTAAAATAACCAGCCGTCTTTTAAACTGGTCTACTTATCTAATTCTAGTATTCTCTAGGAAATCTTCTTAAAGTTAACCAATTTCTGAAATTAAAATAAGCTATTCAAAATGCAGTCTGTAAGCAAACAATGGCCACTTTAATCCAAGGGTATCTCTACGGAACACTTTTTTAGACGGAACAACAAGGATATTACACTCACCAACGGAGCCCAAAAGTAAGCTCGAAAACGCACGAGTATACAATAATGGGGTTCAAATGGAAACAGAGTACAAGCTTGTAACAACAAACGTGCACATTCGATCCTATCGCTCTTCAAAAGACACAAAACTGGGTAAATAAAGGAGAAGGGGGGGGGGGGCTTCCCGAATTCCCCGAGCAAATGCATTGACAGCAGAACTTTTAAGAGTGAGATGAAAAGTGAAGTGCTTCCTTATCAGAGTTAGAATTCAACGCCATAAGATGAACAGAATGCGAGCCAAACGTTAATTCTACAAGCGCCCATACATCCTTAGATAACCTCGTATCCGAATAATCTAATTTATTTCAATAATTAGCTTGTGGGTAGGGATCTTTAGCAGTGGGGGGGGGACTGGAGGACCCGGAGAAAACCCACAAGATCCTTGTCACTTATAATCGGGGAATAGAAACCACTCAATGACAGACCTTATGATACAGCGCGCGCGTGCTAACCACTTGAAGCATCGGTTAACATTTTCAGCTAAATCTTTGTAAAGTTTTAATCCGTTGGACGAACAAAGAAACTTTCTGGTCACAATAAACGAATTTCTTTTTTTCCAGTGGCAAAATATAAGCCTCTTTCACCGAATCTAATATGTTGAAAAGGTGTAAAAACGCACTTTCAAATTGACAATGTATAACCCAAACTTGTCATTAACTCAACCATTGAGTAAGCTACCGACTTTGCTTGTGAATTTTGGCTACCGACTAAACTCCCGCCCATGATGCGCCGAACCGTTCATCATTGAGTCAGTCGTTCTAACCCCGAAACAACGACAGTAAGAGGTTACGACCATACCCTATACAGATGGATATAATAAACTCGAAGGTTTTCTAGCCGAAAGGCAAAGCAGTATACTACTTAATCACCCCCCTCCCCAATTGTATCCCTAACTATTCGCACTTTCGAATTGACAATGTATAACCCAAACTTGTCATTAACTCAACCATTGAGTAAGCTACCGACTTTGCTTGTGAATTTTGGCTACCGACTAAACTCCCGCCCATGATGCGCCGAACCGTTCATCATTGAGTCAGTCGTTCTAACCCCGAAACAACGACAGTAAGAGGTTACGACCATACCCTATACAGATGGATATAATAAACTCGAAGGTTTTCTAGCCGAAAGGCAAAGCAGTATACTACTTAATCACCCCCCTCCCCAATTGTATCCCTAACTATTCGCACTTTCGAATTGACAATGTATAACCCAAACTTGTCATTAACTCAACCATTGAGTAAGCTTCCGCCTTTGCCTGTGATTCTTGGCTACCGACTAAACTCCCGCCCCTGATGCGCCGAGTCAGTCGTTCTAACACCAAAATGTACGACGATAAGAGGTAACGACCATACCCCACAGGCGTTTTCCAGCCGAAAGGCAAAGCAATATACTACCTAATAAATAATTGTATCCCTAAATACTCGGACAACCGTGCATGATCATAACCCGATTTCTCGTCAAAGGATAGAGTGTCCAATTGAAAAAGCAAATCCTTTATCCGCAGACTCAAAAAACTTTCATCGTGGCAAAGACGAGACTTCGCAGTCTCTACCGCCCACGCTTCCCACAGCTATCTAAAATGTAAAAAAGACTCCCTCGGTCTAGCTTCCAACAGCTATTGAACTTTAACTAAAATCAAACAAAAACATACTAGAATTCAGCGGGATCAAAACCGTC